CAATCCACAAATCTGGCGTAGAACATCGGCTAAAATTTTGTTGGGTATTTCTAAACGCATAATATTAGACTATTATAATAATAGAATATATCGAGAGAAAAATTCTCTAAGTTTTGGTAATTCAATCGAACCAATGTGTGAAGACTGGTGTGGATCTAAATTTACATGTGTAATGAAGCCATGAAGCAGCTTCCACCATCGGGACCGAAACCTACATAGCGGAATTGTTACGTGACCATACCTATGTATAGTGCAAAATTCCTTCCTATATTATGTCTCTCCGTAAACACGGATCGACCATGATCCGAAACGATCGAGAATACGCATAAAATAAATTCGATGCCCGGAGTCATCGCGTAAACGAGTTTTCTAATTCTTAACTCAGTACATTTGTTTAAATACGTGTCACTCACATCCCTGAAGTTGAACAGCGTAATCGCGCCGTTGCGTTGCTTTCAGCCGTCCAACGGACCCTGCAAAGAGGATCGACTGCATAATACCGCAGTATTTGCGGTTTTAAGGAGATTAATTTTTTCCTCGAGGTAAAAAGTTCTTAATCGTCATAACCTTCAAACGGTTCACAGCGCATATTACTGTTTATTCGCACTGTTAAAAGAATCACCTAATAAGAGGGTCAATGAACAATGCAAAAAAGGCCCCAGAAATCAAGCAACGCGCAGCAGGAAAAGGTCACGTCCCCCAACGGTTAGATTGCGCGGGCATCGTTCAAAAAGAAACTGGCTAAACAGACGAACCAAGAGGCTTTAACTATTAAATGCTGCGAAAATGTCAACTGTGACAAACGATACGATCGGACTGCTGACTGGGCAAGCGTTGCCAAGCCTGTTACCGAAAAACTACTTAAACCGCAGCATGGGCCAAAGGCACATCTTTGGATCCAAGTATCACAAAACCTGCGAACCACACAACCAACTGCGGAAATCAATACGGACCACGCCGAAGAGTACTAGTGAGAGACAAGTCGAAACGTTGGTACTGGTCAATCTTCCGACTGACCAGTTTTTCTGCGTTATGTATAGCATTTTTAAACATTTTTCAGGTTAGGCTGTTACTAAATTCTTGCCATTCGTTCTTCAGCTATCCATAGTCCATCCTCGGCATATCCGCGACGGAAAGAGAACAGTAACCAAACTGAGACGTATGGCAGACGTACGTACGGCGGAAGGTATAACTCTAAGAAGCTATCATAGTCGAAGTAGCCAACAAACAAAAATGCTAGAGCTTCACATGCCTTTAAGGCATACCTGATCAGAAGAGTACTCTGACTGCAAGTGCGGATGAAAGGACAGAGGATCAAAATGAGCATTACATTCAAAAGAAGGCACGTGCAAGTTTTATTTATTTGTTGCAGTTATAGTCTACCATCTCAACAGCGAATGTGTACAGTGGATGGAAGGTATGGATGTGAATGAATGGATGAAAGATATGATGGAAAACAGTTTAATGATTGATATTAAGCAACTGATGAAATCGCATTGCGACCTGGATAGTGGAAAATTGTGAAATCGCAACATAGCGCAAACGAACCGGCATGTACGATACTAATCATGCAAAATCATCACTACATTAATATCGAACTTGACAAAGATCCGTTACACGATGAAGTCGCTTCGTAGTTTTATTATGCAATAAAGCTGCGAAAATTTTGAATTATAATTCATCCGTCTTAACGGAATAATTGAAAAGCTTAACTTGCAAAAAAAGATCAAACAACGATAACGCGAAACTTCGGACGGGGACTTCATGCAAAATACGATTACTATTACAGAGCCCCAGCATGGCGATGGGACGTCCTTCCTGAATTTCTTTTTAAAGTCATTACTCAACTCAGGTTCGTAAGAGTGAATGAACAATATCAGGTAAATATGAGGAACGAAGAAACGCTGCGACTAGAGCGGATTAAGAAGGATCAAGAGTATGACAGCGGCCAAGACGATTTTAAGTAACCGGCGATTAGACACTACAGATCGACAGCACAGATTCAAACGACATCGACAGCATAAGCTCGTAGGCTTCTTTCCGCTATGACGACGTTGGTTGATGCCTAAGCTAGGATAACAAAAAGTTTCGCATGTTCGACGCTCAAGCGGAGCACGTTAAAAGATGGATACGGAGAAATTCTGCGCAAGGGTCAGTGGCCTTACCACGTTAGCATGGGAGCACGGCCACGACCTGTTGTTCGTTGTCAGTGATATCGCCCGCAGCAGACACGATTACAAAAGATTACAAGATTACAACTTTCATATCTGGCATGGAATCGTGATGTGAGCAAAATTATTGTTCAGGAAACGCCGAAGGGTGTCGAAACAAATCCCTGCATTCACTGCCAGAGCGATGCCTCGCCGCCTACATGATAACAACAGCGTCAATTTCGACTCAACACATAACGAACTTCAAATGAAAGGACCACGTAAGTAATAATTCTGTTCTCCTTCCGGCTCAAGTGACTTCTCCAGATATGAAGATTAAGAACAGGAAACTGACCCTGTTGCACAAACTTCTGTTGAGCATAAAGCATTTACTCCTGTCGTGGATTCGTGTCTTTTTCAGTAAGGAAGGTTTGTTATATACAAAAATTTAGAAAAAAAGGAAATTAATAAAGACGAGACGCAAGTCAATCGATGTGGAAAAACTAACGAAGATCATCGAGCGTTTCCAACAAATTAAATAATAGATTTGACGACATTCACAGAATGCGGTATATATAATATCGGTGCTCCACGATCGGCATCGGCCAAACGTAGTCGGGCTGTGGGCTGGCGATACAACGCCACGCAACGTATTTCACGTGTCATACGCCAGCAGCTGCCGTCAACGACCCGACAGAAAAAAAAACCAGTTGACAACAGACAGGTGACGCTATTAAGTCCAAATACCGCAAACGTCATAACACGCCAGTCAGCTAGTCAGTCAGCCAGTCGGTCGAAGGCATCACGTTTCCTCAATATTTGTACCCTACAGGTCAGAACGGATACTAGGTTAGGGACGAAAAACGGGATATCTCAGCGCGCTTCGCTCGAAGTGTCGATGGTGCCTTGAAGCCGCACCGAGGTTACACGCGGTGGCCTCCACGCCATAGTCGTGTTCTCCTTTTTAACCTCACGCTAACACACACAAGATACAACACATTCCTCCTTGATATGAATCTGTGATTTCGAAACTGAAGCATTTCTTGTTTATTTTTCCCTCAAACCCACTCATCACGTGAATTCCATCGTCACGTAAACAATGCATGGTATTTGCCTCAAATCATTACAATGGCTGTAAAGATTCGTCATGAGCGCTGAAATAATCTTCATTTTCCATGGCCGCTTCTCCTTTCGGGTTGCGGAGGCAGACGGCGGTCAGAGAGAGCTTCCAACGTTCCTGATCCTGTGTCAGAGTCTGAAATTCGACAGAAGACAATTGGAATCTGGAACAGACTCCTTCCATATGTTTGCACCAGGTTAATCTTGGCCGTCTCCTGGGTCTTCTGCCATTCGGTTTGGCAAGAAACAGTTGCCTAGCTTCCCTTTCTGGAGGCATTCGCAACACATGCCTACAGAACCATCGCAGCCTGTGACTTCTCAATCTGGAAAAGCAGCGTCTGCACACAAAAACCAGCGACTCGTTTCAGAAAACCAATTTCAGCAGCTTGTATCCGGGTTCAAAGCTTTTCGGTCATCGTCCACGATTCATGACCGTAGGTAAGTATGGGGATAAA